CTGCCTCTTATTCTCTGATCTGCTTTTGAAACCGAGTATTTCACTTCAATGCATGCCTCTCAAGCTTTAAGAACTCCTTTGAAACTTAATACTGTAACTTATTTTTATTTATAATGCAAAATGGTTAATAATGTCTTCAATCCCAGAAGAAATAGTGCTGTCTCTGACTCAGTGACTTTTGGTTGTATGCTAATCTAGTGGTTTTTAAAAAAAAAAAAAAAAAAAAAAAAAAAAAAAAAAAAAAAAACAAAAAAAAAAAAACCAAAAACAAAAAACAGACCTCACAATGTCTTCCATCATAAATAGCTGTAGTTGACTTCTCACAGATTCTTTCATATTTTACCAATAACTATATGTTACTTTAAAAAAATAAGTAAAAGTCAGAAAAGCTTACTTTATTTGCATCCTATGACACACAGAAATACCATATGGACATACCATCTATTGATGGGTTCCAAATAAATATGCTTTGTCCACGCTACTACAGCTTCATATTTTGAAGGCATAATGTTAAGTTCTGCTACCAAAAAAAAGCAAAGAAAAAAAAACCCACCTGAAGTTGAGCATAACTTAAATATTGTCTTTTGTTTTATTAAGGTAGATGATTGTTGAAGATTTTAGCGAACACATCTGAATGATTTGTCAGAGAGGGAATGTGGCTAGAAGCATGTAATTACTTCCAATTTTTTTCAGATTTAAGAGAAGACTTTCTACATGTTTGCAAGGTAACACCCACTCAGTGACTTGTGTGGAAGTGCTCTAGTTTGCAAAGCAACATAATGAGCAGCTAGTGAGGATGGTTTTCCCAGCTGCCAAAGGGTTTCACAGAGTTGTGATGACTGCCATACTGCTGTCAAGCTGTCACTCACTAAGTGAAGGTTTTAAAGCATGTTTCATGGTTTTGTGGGTAGCTGTTTTTTTGAATGTTCTAGAAATGCTGACGTTTTCCTAAAATACCAAGACACAAAAGGTGAAATACAACTTGATCTGTTTGGCTGTGCACAATAATTATGTGTCAGACTTAAAGGGAGAGCTGCCGTTTTTCCAAGAGGGTCATGTCAGATAACTTGAGACTGAATTTCTACCTAAGATGACTGAGATTCCCAAGACTCTTATAAGCTCTTCTGTAGAACAGGAGCCCTCTTGGTCTCTCCCAGAGTTACTGTGTGGTGGATGATACAGAAAGTCATCTAATCAAGATGTTTTTATAGTTGACCACTAATAGGCATTTTTAAGAGTTGCTGAAGTTTAGGCACTTAACATGATCTTTTTTTTGCCGAAGTACGGAGCACTAACAGCTTCAACTGAAGACAAAGCTGCTGCTCATTGATTATTAAAAGTACTACACAGACAAGTTTGGAGAATTAGATTTTGGATATGTCAAATCAGCAAAACAATCTATGGAGATGCTAAGATGTTAAGATTAGACATGTAGCATTTAACTATCATATCTGTAGAATTTGGTATTTTCACCTTGAAATACGTAATGACCCCTATGTTCCAGAGCAGTACAATGTATAGAATCATAGAATTGTTATGGTTGGAAGAGATCTCAAAGATCATCAAGTCCAATCTTCTACCCAATGCCACCATGCCCACTAAACTATGTCTCGAAGTGCCACATCTAAATGTTTTTTGAACACCTCCAGGGGTGGTGAGTCCACCTCCCTGGGGAGCCAGTTCCAATGCCTAACGACTCTTACAGTGAAGTTCTTCCTAATATCCAACCTGAACCTCCCCTGGCACAACTTGAGACCATTTCCTCTTGTTCTATCGCTAGTTACAGGGGAGAAGAGACCAACCCCCACCTCGCTACAACCTCCTCTCAGGTAGTTGTAGAGGGCGATCAGGTCTCCCCTCAGCCTCCTTTTCTCCAGGCTAAACACCCCTCAGCTCCCTCAGCCACTCCTCATCAGACTTTTTCTCCAGACCCTACACCAGCTTCATTGCTTTTCATTGTATACACTCCAGCAGCTCAACGTCCTTCTTGTAGTGAGGGGCCCAAAACTGAACACAGTACTCGAGTTGCACCCTCACCAGTGCTGAGTACAAAGGGATGATCACTTCCCTAGTTCTGCTGGCCACACATTTCCTGATACAGGGCAGGATGCTGTTGGCCTTCTTGGCCACCTGAGCACACTGCTGGCTCATGTTCAGCTGGCTGTCAACCAACACCCCCAGGTCTTTTTCCACCAGGCAGTTTTCCAACCACTCTTCCCCAAGCCTGTAGCGTTACGTGGGGTTGTTGTGAACCAAGTGCAGGACCTGGCACTTGGCCTTGTTGAACTGTGTGTCACGTAGAAGCCTTCAGAGCAGAGGTTTGCTGTATTAAAGTTTAAGGCTGTACATCTCTTAATGGATTATCCATCAGATTCTCAGAGGGGAAAAAATAATAGTGTTTGATCACATAATTTTTCTGTCTAGTGCTTCCTAGTTTTGAACGTTTTATTTTGCAATGCTACTAGTGTTAATTCTATATGTGGCTTATGGATAGTATACACATTTTTTTCTTTTTAATGCATGGCTCATTCTGCGGTAGATTACTGCCTGTTTTGCAGGGAAAGGGAATAATCCACAGGCCGTAAAACTTGAGCCATTGTTAGATAGCCTTCTGTAAGTACTGCTTTGTAGGAAATATGCAAACCTTTCGTCTAGTGGAATGCTGTAGAGTCTGCCAAAGTGATCACTGGAGTTGACAAAGACATGAATAAATATTAGAAACAGTGAGTTTAGGGAAGGTAGGGTCATAAATTTGTGCTTGCCTATGTAACTTTTGAATATATTTCCAACTCAGTAGTGTGTAAACTTGCAGTAAAAACAGAACCTGTGTATACTATGTAAATATAGATAGGGTGCTTGTCACTTCTGCTTTATTAATATTGTTAGACTTGAACAATCAATGAATCTTTAATACTGATCTCACTCCTTAGTAATATCCAGTCTTTGCGTTTCAGTAGTTGTTCTGATCTAATTTTGTTGCTGCTACCTTTCTGATACTACATTGATTTTTCTCTGTTCTGTACTATTTCACATGTGATTCTGAATTGCATATACTGCACTAATTTTGTTCTTAGTGCTTCACTGCTTATGAAGAGACTTATGGCAATCTGTTTATTACATTCTTATCAATAGTCTGGTCAATATATTGAGTCCAACCATGCTTTCTATTCCAAAGTAACTTCTTAAAAATAATTATCTGCCATGTGGAATGTTAGTATCTGAATTTTTATATTTTTTTTTTTTTTAACCTGCTAAAACTTCCTTGGAAATGAATTTCCTGTTTGTCAAACTAAGCTCTCATAAGAGTGCTTGGTCTTTCATATGCACAGACACACACTGAACTGAAAATGTGTAAATCTGAGATATTGAAAAGAAATTTTGATATTCATCTGCATTTGATAATCTATTCCCAAGTAGATTTAACATCAAGACAGTGATCTGTGCGTTGGTGAATTTTCATCCTAAGAAATAATATTAACTTTTAAATTTTACAGAATGATGAGTTATTACATTAATGTTTACTTACTGTATAAATGTGCCTCGTGAGTGCAGAAGAACATGTAGCATGCATCTTCAGAGTGGGAAACCTGTTAGTTTTCCTGATTATTTGGGTAAAGGGGGTGTGCAAAAATAAGCAATCTTGCTATTCAAATCTTGATTATTTAAGACCCGCCTTTAACTGCCAGCATTTGAAAGCAGAGAAAAGTGACTTTTCCAATAATACTCTTTGGAGGATAGTATGGATTTTTGGAAATAGAGTTTAAGGAGAAAAATAAACGATATGCCAGCTTTAGTAGATTGTGGAGTGCAATGATTCTACAAATAATTTCTTCACAGAAAGTGGAAATGTGTTTGGAAGTGACTTAACATACAGCAACAGATGAATAACATGTAAATAAAATACAGTGTGACTATTGAAAGTGCCTAAAACGGCTTATAAAACTTTCATGGATGTTAGAAGTAATACCGATGAAAAGAAAACTTGTTTGTTAAGAGAAAAAATAATACAGGAACCCAATTTTCCTGCTGTTGAAAAGTTAGCTTCAGTATTTAAGTACTCTTTGAAAACCTGATGCTGAGTTAAGGATACACTCATTGGAGTGTGGTTGGTTTTTTGGGTTGGTTTGTTTTTTTGTTTTGTTTTTCAAAAGCAGAGCAGTCTTGCATGAGCACGACAGACTTTATGGTTTTTAACATATGTTTTGTTTATAACAAGTAAGATCATTCTTATTTATGGTCTTTGTTTGTGGTACCTAATATTTGCGGGGAAAAGTCAAGCGATCTTCCTTGATTCTTGTAACTGTATTTTTCATGGACTGTTGTCTGATTTAGTGGGTTTACTTTCTCAATGCAGTAAATACGTATACTTATGTCTGTTCACTGGAAATTGGGAATTGAATGTCATAGATGTTGGTGGTGTTACAGAAGTATGACATACATGTGATATGTTGTGAAAAGACTGGAGAAACCTGTATTTTTTCAATCAATCACCAACATGAAAGTAGTCAGGTACAGTTACTGTTACAGTAGTAACAGGTTTTTTTAAGAGGTAATAAATGGACTTAGGCTTACATGGAGATGTCTCTCTTTTTTGTGTGTTCTCTTGTCTAAAATTACAAGAGAAAGAAATGAGTAAGAGACTGGGTATGAGGAACCTCAACTAAGTAGCGTGGGGAAAAGAGAATGGTAAGGTGATTGTAAGAATGCAGGTGGAAAGACAGTTGATTTAGTTCTGGTTTTTACAGTATTGGCAACCTAAGCTGATAATTGCTGAAATATATCCAATTTTCAGTGGTATAAAGCTTGTTTGGCATCATACCATCATTCTGACAATAAGGAATGTGCTTTTCAAGTATGTTTTCCAGGAAAGGGAATGTGTTCTACTGTCACAATCAGTGACATATATGTACTTTGTGGGACATGATAGAAAATATACGAGCAAACCAGCTACTGATAGAGTGAACTAAAGGGCGTGTCCTGAAACATTAAACCCATTTCAGTTATGTTGTTTTTTTATATGCTCAGTGACGAACAAAAAACCAGCTCAAGCATCTATTACGAAGGTGAAGCAATTTGAAGGCTCTACGTCTTTTGTGAGGAGAACGCAGTGGATGCTCGAGCAGCTTCGCCAGGTCAATGGTATAGACCCTAATCGGGTGAGTATGAACAGTTCTAGAAAATGAAAATTGAACTCTTTTGTAACTGATTTGTGAATCAGGCATTCTTTCACTGTTCAAAAGGCATCTGGAAAGGTAAGATACAGGTTTAAGTTCAAAGTCTCAAAAAAGAAATAACTCAGTGGAATATGTGAAATAAATTTTAATGGGAAAGATGAGAGGGGGCCAAAGCTCATAGTCATATGGGTTTTTTTTTCCTTCCTGTCTTTTTCTACTTTTCTTCCTAGTCTCTCTTCTTTGTAGAGAGAAAAAGAGGAGGCTTGTTTGCCTTGTCTTCAGCTATAAGCCTCTTGGGGTCCATGTTGGCATGCAGCTGTGTTACAAGAGCAGTAAGTAGAAGCAAGGACAGGAGAGGTTACTGAGGTTCAGTTTGTGAAATACCGTGAAGCTTGCGTTCTCTCCTCAGATGCTTCTGCATTTCTTATCTTTTTCTACAAAGGGTGGTGGTGTGGTTTAGTTGGCAATGGCACCTGAATGCTGATTAAAAAAAAAAAAAAAAAAAAAAAAAATAAAACAAATAAACCTCCCACTAAATGGTTCTGGAATTATTCCTTTAATGTGGAACACACAGCCTGCCTTGAGCTGTCTCAGGGCAAAGTTAGACTAATGTGTAATAAGCTTATGAATACAAATCTTCAGTAGTAAACCAGCAGAATTAGGAATGTGGCTCATACTATGTGATCACAAAGTGACTTACTGTGTTCATTGTACAGCAAAACATGTTTGTAGCTAACCCCCTTGGTTTGTTCAAAGCTGTGCTCTGATCAGCCACTTAAACATCTTAACAATAGTGCACCAAATTCTGTTACTGCCTAGTACAATCTTTTGTACAAAAAAGAAGCCCTTTTGGCCTCTGCCCTATGAAATGCAGGGGGTGGAATTACATTTTCTCTGTGTAAAGGAACAATGAAAATGAAAGAAATGACAAATAAATAAGGGATATGAGTTTTAGACCCTTTCCCAGCATCTACTTTGTAAATAACATGCTTGGAATACTCTCAGGTTGGAAGTCCTATCAAGTTCTTAAGCTTAGACATGTGTTCCTTTCAAACTTGTCTTCTTGTGACTTCCTAGTGTCATCAATTACAATGAAGAGATTAGAGTGGCGGGGGAAAAAAAAAAAAAAAAAAAAAAAAATAAAAAACAAACAAAACCACACCAACATTTAGATTACAAAACGATATTTAGCAAATATTGCTAAATACAGAGCAATACTTCTTGCATAAAATCCATTTATTTTGTCAGTTGATGCATGGTATAGAACCGGGCTTTGATTTGTTCTGGGAGTGCTCCTTGTTATCCTGAGGTCTGTGTGACACTTTATCATAATACATTAAATACAATAACTAGGACTTGCTCTTTGTTTTCCTCCTTTGGTTGAGCATAGAGAGCAGAACCATATCTTGTGTAATATAGTGTGAAAGTAGATTTTTGTGCTGAGAGGCACAAATCCTTGTGTAATATATGAGAGTGAAGTAACTGTATATCTATAGATAACAAGGATTTCTTATGATATTCCAACTTTTAATTTTTTGGGCTAAAGTATTTTTGTTTTCAAGTATTTTTGTCATAGCTGAATATTCCTTATTAAAAATACCTCCAAGAAAAAAAAACTTCCTGCCTGTTTTTTTTGCATTCAGAAATATGCAAAGGAAAAGTAATCCCAGGATGGTCTTGAGTTGCATGACCTTTCTGCTTTTTCCAACATAATACTTTTTAAAAAATAGTATCTCTGTATCTTTCTCCAAATCATTTATAAAACTGGAATAATAGAAGTGTGATTTGTTGTGGGTTGTTTTTTCTTCTAGGATTCCCCAGAATTTGATTTACTGTTCGAAAATGCTTTTGACCAATGGGTAGCAAGCACAGCTTCAGAAAAATGCACATTCTTTCAGGTTCTACATCACACTTGTCAGCGATACCTTACAGACAAGAAACCAGAATTTATCAACTGCCAGTCTAAAATTATGGGAGGTAAGTTAATTGAAGCTGGAGTACTTTGTGCAGTTGCACATGAAATGATTTGCATGTGAGTTATTCTCTGTTCAAATGAGCTTGCAACCTATTTACATCTTGAAATCATGGGTCTGAATATGCTAACTTCACAGTAGTAAACTTCTAGGCTTCAGCATTTCTCCGTTAAGCACCAGTTCACACTTTTCTACTATCTTTGCTTCCTTAGTCTTCAGTTCTAGAGGCAAGATCCCCTACCCACCTTGTGAGAAGTCATTCCTCTCCCTGTTTTTAGCAACGTTGATTTTGATCTGTGTCTCTACTTCTGTTCATCCAGAAACATTTCTGGGTGGCCTGGAATATTTCCTACTAAAAGCCTGTTCTGCATTGCCATTTCCTCACAAGTCTGTGAAAAACTGGTTATTACTAAACTTCCCATGGGTTTTTTGGAACTTACTTTGATCTTGACAGAAATCAGATAGTTTAGAGTTTTGTTACATTTCATAAGTCACACATCTTAAGGTGAATTTCCAGGGTTAGACTAAAAAATGTCTGGTTATATAAAAAAGTCTGGTCAATGTATGAAATTGTTATTTACCATCCACTTCCTGAGCAACAAAAGCTATTTTGGGGCGAGGATTTTCACATATTTCACAAAGTATTCTTTAGGAAAATAAACTAGTTTAGATGTTCCCTTAAACTGAAACTTATGCACATAATCTCCTTTTTGTCTGCTCTAAAACAGAACAGTTTTTAAAACTCTTACACCTCCTGTGTTCTTCACAGCTGGAATAAAAAAATTTGTTTTTCCCAATGAGTCTTCAAACTGTAGAAGAGAAGTGCAAGCTGACTTAGGGTTTTCTTTAGCTGTTGTTTCTTTCTCCCAATAGACATCAGTTATAAATATGGAGAACCTTACTCAGTTCTTTCTGGTAATTCTCTCATAAATCTAGAATACTTTCCTGTATTCTGTTTTCAGAACTATATTTTGTGCAGCCACCTTTATGTGTTCTTTTTTCTGGCTGTTATTTTGTCTTGCATCCATTTCCTCTAAAACACCAAAGATAAACTTGAGGAAGGGAGAAATCATCTCCAGTTTGGTGCTTACATTTTAGCTACTGACACTGAGGTTACCACTAACTTTGTGGTCATAAGTCAGAACTGTTCTGTCAATCATCCTTTTCTTTTAGTGTCTTCTCAAACTAAGAAAATTTCTTGTAAACTTCCTCTCTGATTTTTCCCCCCTTCCACATTAATAGGATTTCCTTTGTTTTCTTTTTGGTGTGCTGTGGAGGAGGGAGGAGCAGTTTCTGTACTGATGGGAGAAGATACCCCCTACAATTTTTCCATTTCATATGGAAGAAATCTCATATCAAGCCTTTGTTTTTCATCTGTTTGCTGATGATGCTCACTTCCATCCTTCCTGCTAATAAGTCAATATTAATAAACCACCACACATTTCAGCCTCTGAAATTATTTTATTCTCATAGCTTGACCTGTCCAAAATTGAATTCCTGATTCAAATGACTCAAATATTAACCTTTATCCTAAACAAGTGTCAACACAGCAGGGGAAAAAAAAAAAATTGCCACTGAGGTTCATAAACTTCTGCTTGACTTCTACTTTTTTAACACTCACTAGACCCTACCATGTTCCATGAAGCATACCCCCATTCTCTCTGTTACAGCTTCATAGCTAAAATGGGCTTATTCAGCCATTCTCCAATACCGGATAGTGACTGTGTCCATATTGCTTGCTGGTCATTCTGACTGTGCAGAGATGCAGTCTGTGCGTGTACATACATGGTACAGATCATGGATGTGTTACAGGGCCAGGGACTAATAAATCTCCTCATGGATACAGTGCTTCTGCTGTTCTTCACACTGTCAACTTTTTCCTCACACTGGGTTACAGATTCCCTGTGCATAAGTTTAAATTTGACTGAAACTATAACAACTGCAACCCAAGTAATAGTTTGCCCAAAATTCCACTGGCTTTGTGTGTCTGCCTCACTGAGCAATGGTAAGTCTACCAAAAATTAAAAAAAAAAGTCCTCATTGGCAAATAACCAGTATCAATAATTATAAAAGGCAATACAATCATATTATTGGAAATGTGTATTCAGATTGGTATTCTTAATGCAATGCTAAGTTTTCTACAGAAATACTGTATCTATACTATAATTACAAGCTTTATTGGTGTGTTCATGCATACAGATAAATTCTTACTCGGTTCCAAAAGCATTGTTCTAGCAGCCATGCTGGGATTTCTTGAAAATATAGGTAATTAATAGATGAAATTTAGCTTTTCAAACTATATTTTTTGAGTTGTGGAAAAATTAATTTTTCTGCTATGTTATTTAGCATTTTTCCTATTGTTCTAGTATACATGGGAATATATTTCACTAATCTTTCCATCATCTTCAAAAGCTTTTGCATTACTTTATATTTAAACTCATTTATCTAGTGGAGCCATACTTCTTCCACTGATTAAAAATGAATAAATAACTGTCATAGCAGCTTTGAAATATCTCCCAATTAAAGGCAGGTCTCCTTGGTAATATGTAATACTGTGAAATTAGTTTAGTCATTGGGTTATGTTAGTTGGTCTGTTACTTTGAGGCAAATGGAGTAATTAAGTGACTAGAAGCAGCACTCTTCATTGATTTTAGAAGCTGTTCTGTGAGTTGGTAGTTGGCAGACTGAGACGGTAGGGAGATATCTGCAGTTTTGCTAGCGCTCATTTGAAGCCCAGGGATGGGCCAACTGTGTATCAAAATGCATTTAGTCTGAAACCTGCAGTATTGGAGTCTTTTTATGGAACATACAATGAAATGTGTTGTTGATCTCAAATTCATCCTGACTGGAAGAAGTAAGGTCCAACTGTAGCCAAGCAAACCAGAGAACATATACCTGAGGATACAGCTTGAAATTAATGAAATTCAGTTCAGAATTTGCACCTTGGTTTTTATTGTTACTGTTTTGTTGGGGTATTTTGCTAATTAGCCAAAGCAGTATATTCAAATCATTCGTAAACCTTAGTGCAGTCAGATTTCGAATGAAGCATGTCACTTCATCCCCTCTATCAAGGTAGCATTTATGTTTTAAGTGATATTCTTTTAAACTTTCTAGGGGATGTGAAAAGTAATATTCTTTTTGGATGGTTAGTCAGTTTAACTTCTAATACTCTACAAGTATTTTTTTAAATAAATTACTGGAATATGTGTATGCATACACCCACATGCTTATGTATGTAATGATACAGATATGTACATCATATATGTAATGTGCATCTTGTAGCTAATACGTACTTTGAAAAACAGACAAAAAAGCCACCGAAGAACACTTCTTCTGAAGTGGAACTGAAGATGAAAGAACTTGAAGGGCTTGTTTACAAGCTTACTTATCTTAGTGAGCCTTATTCCTCCCTAAAGGATAGGAGTGAAGAAAGCAAAATTCATGCTGCTCCTGTTTCTGCAGGAAGTGCTTAGGAGCTTAGCCATAAGTAGATGAGTGTCCCTGTGGAACTGCAGACCCTCTTCATTGCCTTCCTCCTTTTATGTCCTTCCCCTACACATGCTTCCCCCTACAGGCCAGAGCCCTGCCCCTGATTCTTCTCCAGAACGATTTTTTTTGTGCTTTATTTTCATTTGAGTATTGTGTAAGGATATAGTCTGTAGAGTTCAGTAGGCTAGACTGTTTTCTGTAACTTGGTTAATGACATTAGTAATTACAGCGATAATGAGTACTGATTAAAGATATGAGTGCTAATTCTGAAAACAAAAAAATTCAAATTTAGGAAGACTATAACAAGATTTCTGCCACTAGTGTCTAAATATTTCAAGTTTTGTCTCCTGTTTAGAATTTAGAAGAGCCCTCTCCATAGCTTACGTGAATTCTGGATGTTGTTTTGGAGAGGAAAGAAAAGGCAGGCATTTGGGATAGAGGTTTTTTTAACTGAGGTAGGAAATATTTTCCACTTTTGTATCTTTCTAACATGGGTTCTGATACAGGAAAACATCTGATTTGGAGTATCTTTGTGTTAATTGTTATTCGGTGGCCAAGTTAATCGGATTGTATTGCTTTTACGTCAGTAATGTAAAAAACAAAGTTGGAGATGAGTGGTATGCAGAAATTTTGTCATCTACAGATTGTGTTCATTAGAACAACTTAATTCTTGACATGATGTTAGGCTGACACTGAGGATGAATTTGACTTTCATTTCTGGATCGAACCCTGTGAGCATTGGAAACTCTTCAAAGGTTAATTCTGGGCCTATAAGAATAAAAAGTTGCTGCCACCTTGAGATACATCTTAGAAATGCATAATCCTTGGAAGGGTGCAAGACCTGAGGTTGAAGGAAGATGATGATCTTGCGATTTCTTGTTTGTTTTAAGCTTTGTCCTACGTATTTACTTTGGTTTTAACAATCATTCTGCTGAATTAGTTAAAATGTTCTTAGAAGCCCAATGTAATGACACCTTTGCCTCTGTAACCTTTTCTCTGGGACAGCTGGCAGGAGTTGTTAATGCATCATTCTTTCTCTCCTCAAAGAATATATTGCCAGTGTGAGAATGGTAATGAGTGCTACTTTGTTCATAAGCTGTTGATTCGTCTTAGCTTACCACATTTGAGACCTGGTAAACATAGTGGTGTTTACTCTACTGTGCAAGATTAATGATTGACTAAAGGAGATGAACAAAAACTTGCAGTTAGGAATTAGAATGGGAAGAAAGACGATTGTTCCCCTCCCTCCTGTCAAATACTTAGTAGTTGTTGGTTTCTATTCTTGCCTGATAGGTATTGAAAAAAGTTTGTAATTGAACATATTATTCTTGCAGACTTTCACTTTTAATTCTGCTAAAAAACAACAAAACAACAAAAAAAAACAAGGACAAAGTATCTACTGTGTTATTTTGACGGTGTTTTGCCATTTTGAAATTAACAATCAGATGAATCCTAGCAAAGTTTCTGTTCAGAAACAACTTTTTTTGCATTTGATTAAGATATTTCTTGCCAGTG